GTTTTTTAAGCTCTGCACGAACCAATGGCCGTGCAGTTTCACTGCGTGAATGAATAGGCTTCAGTTCAGGAGAAAACACGCTTTTTTCCCATATGCGTCTAGCAAGACGCAGTACGAGTGAAGTATCGAAAGGGAACCTGAATTCGTGGTCATTTTAACTATCTAATACATTGAATCAATCAATTACTGTATTAAAACAAGCACAACAAACAGAGAGTTTGTTATTGTTTATAAAAGATTCACATTTAAGTATTTTGATATATCTTTGGAAAACAGTGATCTATTTTCTCTCATCTCAGAACAGTGTGTCAGCTGTGCATCTACACAGTAACTTTTAAAAACAGTTGAACAAATAAAACAATTAGTTGTTACCTCTATCCATTTACATTCACCAGGATCTTAATATTCAGATTTAAACATCTTAACAAATGATCCAAAAATTATCAGAGCACATATGAATCATTAGAATACAAATGAACTGTATTATGTATAGATGTGTTTGTGTTCCCTCAGCCTTATGTTCCCTGAATCTTATGTTCTCTCAACCCTAACCCTGCTAGAAGCAATGACTATCAGTCCACAAAAGCAATATATGCTGTCAGGTCACATATGTAGTATTTATACATTATTAGAGAAATTAAACACTATTTTATATTTAATATAATTAAAAATTACTTAAAAACCACAAAACTATGAGGACTTCACGCTGAATTTCAACTCCGTCAGACAGAAAATCTTACGGTGGTGACATCTGACGGTGTTAACATATTTGGCATTTCTTTCAGAAAACAAATGGAGTTCAGGTTGTAGCCATTTTTTTCTGTTGCTAGATGCTAATAGAACCTGCTTCAAGAGAATAGCATTATCTAAATATTTCAAATAATTTCCTCAGAAACGGGAAGATATTAGCATTAGGATTTAAAATCCTAAAAAAAAATTATTACGTGTTGCTTTTGATAAAACAAGCTCTTTTTCATCATTAAAAAAAACAAACATTTCTAATCCATTTTATAGCAAATGAATGATTAACCCCTTCTCTGTGGACACACTGTTTTAGATGTAGTGAGATTGTGAGAAGACAATAAGTGTCATAGATTTGATATAATAATGATAAAAAATAAACTGAAGGGGATAATTGTGTTAAATACATTCTATTATTAATCCCCCATAACATTTACAATTGAAAATATTTTCATGTTTAAACCTAATAGCAGTTCCAATTGCTGGACATGTTTTGTCCCATGTCTCAAGAATCAGTGGTATATAAGTTTCATTTTTTTAAAGAAATTAATACTTTTATTCAGCAAGGATGCATTGAGTTGATGAAAATTGACAGTAAATACATTCATAATTTTAGAAAAGATTTAGAGTATATTTCAAATGCATGCTGGGTAACACTTTAGTTTAGGGACCAATTCTCACTATTATTTGGTTGCTTATTAGCATGCACATTATTGACACATATTAATGCCTTATTCTGTGTTATCATATTTTAGACCCCTTAATGATCCCTTAATGTCTTAACAGTCATAGTTAATAGTTAATAGTGAGAATTGGTCCTTAAACTAAAGTGTGACTGAATGCTGTTCTTTTGAACTTTCTATTCGTCAAGAAACCTGGAAAAATGTGTCATGGTTTACACAAAAATATGAAGCAGCACAATTGTTTTCAACATTGATAATAATAAGAAATGTTTCTTGAGCAGCAAATCCATATATTAGAATAATTACTGAATCATGTGACACTGAAGACTGGAGAAAAAGTCAGCTTTGTCCGCACAGGAATACATTTTAAAATATATTAAAACAGGAAACAGTTATTTTAAATTGTAATGATATTACTGTTTTTACTGTATTTTTGATCAAATGAATTCAGACTGTCTATTGAAATTCATTAATATAAAATCTCCTAATTATCTTGATACAAAATGTTCTCTTCCTGCATTGCTGTGT